TCATTATGCTATTAGGGTTAGGGGCTGTATTCTGCTTACTGACAGAAGGCTGCAGAAAATCTGGCCGATGGACATCAAAACAAGCGGCACCACACCACCTATGGGCCCACGGGGCTTAGCGTATACCGAGAGATCCGGCGTGGCTGTTTGCGTGGTATACGCTGCGGCGCCCGAGTGGCCAAAGCGCAACATGGAAGGCCGTAGGTGGAAAACCACCAGGTACCGATACCGCTACTCCCTGGACCTCTCCTGGGGTGCGTTCTGACCAGAATTTCGAAGCGAATCCAGCGGTGGCGACGAGGGTCGCCCAAGAGGCCCCAAAAAGGGGAAAACGGAGGCACGGTGGCGGTATGGGTACCCTTTCCATCCTCTGAGTGGGTGGGGTGGTGTCGTCCGTCTTCTGGTCGAGCCGAGTCCGTCGGCAGGCCGTGGAAGTCTGCAGAAAGGAGCGCCCCAGCGCCCCCCCGCGCAGCCCGCGCCCGCCGAGCGTCCCCCGGAGAGGGGCCGCCTGCTCGTGGTTTTTTCCGAGGCTCTCCAGCGTGCAGGAGCTGAAGGGGGTCCTCGGCCAGACCTTCAAGGAGTTGGCGTCCCTGCGCGCGGGGGGGGCGGCGGAGGAGGGAGGCGTAGGGAGGGGGGAGGGGGGGGGAGGGAGTAGGGAGTAGGGAGGAGGGGGGGAGGAGGAGGAGGAGGAGGAGGAGGAGGAGGAGGAGGAGGAGGAGGAGGAGGAGGAGGAGGAGGAGGAAGAGAAAGAGGAAGAGGAGGAGGAGGAGGAGGGAGGGAGGGAGGGAGGGAGGGAGGGAGGGAGGAGGAGAGAGGAGGGGGCAGGACAGACACATCGAAAATGGCGCAAACTTTTTGGAGGCCCGCGCAGACTTCTTGGAACGGCGATGGCCACCCCGCGCCGCCAAGGGGTCCAACGCCGATCCGAGAAATCCGCGCGGCTTGTTCGTGCTTGTTCTCGAGAGGAGGGGGTGATGGGGGAACGATCGAGGGGGGACCAGCGTGGGAAGCGCCGAGCTTGCATCGGCGACGCATCGCCGACATATCAGATGGCCGATGGGCCCCCAGAAGAACATCCCTCAAAAACACGAGAGCCTCCGCCGACCAAAACACGCAGGACATCCAAGGGCACCCGCCCCAGGATGCACAAGAACATACCGCAAACGCGAAGAACTTCCAGCAAGGGGTTCCTCGGCGGGGCCTGCAGGGAGTTGGCGTCCCTGCGCGGGGGGGGCGGTGGAGGAGGGGGAGGCGGGACGAATATTGAGGAGGAAGAGGAGGAGGAGGAGGAGGAGGAGGAGGAGGAGGAGGAGGAGGAGGAGGAGGAGGGAGGGAGGAGTAGGGATGAGGAGGGGGAGGATGAGAAGGAGGAGGAGGAGGAGGAGGAGAAGGAGGAGGAGGAGGAGGAGGAGGAAGACGAAGAGGAGGAGAAGGAGGAGGAGGAGGAGGAGGAGGAGGAAGGACGACTGTAGCCAGACCCGAAGGTTCCCGGGCAGGGTGGGCTATGTACGCCCGAGGGGGGATAGGCGCGACTCGGATCCCAGCGCTTTCAACCCGAAGAAGATGAGCGCCACCTTAGCCCCTACGCTCCCGCCAGACGGCGGGATGGGTGAGGGAATAGGCTCGCCCGAAGAGGGAGGGACAGAGGCGGGCCAGCAGACAGAAGCAAGGAGAGATAACAACGTCCCTAGATGATATATATATATATATATATATATATATATTCAAGGCTGCACTGGCGCTTCGCGCCGTGCATCTTGTTTCGCAGCCTCTCGTCTGAAAAACATTCCACATTTTTTTCTGACTTCTGCACGTTTCCTTTCAGGAATTCGACGACTGTGGCTTCTTGAGGCTCTCTTCGGAAGCTTCTTGGGGGAGCTCGTAAAAGCCAGCAGGCCTTCTGGAAGCGATTGTGGCATTCTCGGGAGCCTGGCTTGGGCCTCTCAGGGGGGGCTGGAGCCTGTTGGGGGCCCCTGTGGGAGTCCTTGGGGCCTTTCGGCGACAGTTTTGGAGCTTCTTTTGGCTGCCGTGGGCGTCTCCTGCGTCGCTTTGGGACCCTCCTGGACCGTCGTCGGAGCCTCTCGGGCCCGGTTGGAACAGTTAGGGGGCGTCTTGGTCCGTGTTTGAATCCCGGAAGGCGCAAATCCCGTACCTGTTAGAGATCTGTGTTTCTCCATCGGAATTCGACGCTTTTGGCCTCTTGGGGCTCCCTTCGGAAGCCTCTGGTGGGTTCCTCGGGCCGCTTTGCTGCGAACCCGGGCTCCCTCAACGACCGGGTCACGATGTGGATTGATTTGGGGAGCGTCCTGGAGCCGTCCCGGGCCGTCATGGGCATCTCTTGGAGCCATATCAAGGCCCTGTTGGGCCATCTTGGCGCTCGCTTGGACTGTCCGGAGGCCGGTCTGGTTGGGTTTGGGATTTTTTTCCGTGCCTCTCGGGCGGTCTCGGACGCCCGGAAGACCGAAGAACCGAGGTTCCAAGAATCTCTGAACAACTATGCGAAAATCAATGTTTTTTGTCGCATCGAGGTGCACATCGGAGTGCTCTTTGGGCCGTCTTCGAGTGCTCGGTGGGTTCTTAGAGCCGCTTGGGGCCTTCGCAGGGCCGTTTTGCCACCCTCCTGACCGCTTTGGGCCCGCTGGCTAGGCCCGGCAAGGGCGTCCAGGTGGACCGGAGGCCCAGGGGACCCCTTGCAAGAGCGTCCAGGGGGGTCCTAAAATCTCCAGATCCCGGGGGTACGGATTTACCGGGGGGGGGGGTCACACCCCCCCGGGTTGTAAAAATATAGAAAAGGGAATATATTTATTCTTATATATATATGTATATATATACATACATACATACATACATACATACATACATACATACATACATACATACATACATACATACATACATATATACATACATACATACATACATACATACATACATACATACATACATACATAAATATATATATATAGAGAGAGAGAGACAGAGAGAGAGAAAAACAACAAAAAGAGAGAGAGAGAGAGAGAGAGAGAAAGAAAGACAGAGAAAGAGAAACAGAGAACACTCAAACAAAGAAAACGATACACATATATATATATGTATATATATGCGCATATATATATATATATAAACAAACAAGCGGCACACACAAACTTTGACGGTCCGCGCGAACTTCTTGGATCTGCGCTTGACCCCCCTCGGCTGCGCCTCTGGCGCCGCCCTTTGCGCGCTCCTCGCACCCAGGAGAGGGGGTCCAATGCGGATCTAAGAAATCGACGCGGACTGTCAAAGGTTATGTTTATGCCGTCTCCCTCCTTCGGGGAGCAGGCTCGCCGGGAGAGGGCAGGAGGCGGGCCAGTGAGCAAAAGCAGGGAGAGAGACTGACGTCCATCCCACCACTACATACGTCAACACAAGCTGAACGGATAGAAGCGCACTGCACAAGCGAGACACGCGTGCCTGGGCGTGCTGGTGCATCCTGGGTGAGCACGGAGCACAGAGGCGACGCAGGAGGGGGGGGGCGGGGGGGGGAGAGAACGAGGGCGGAGGAGGACCGAAGAGGGGGAGGAGGGAGGAAGGATGAGTAGGAGTGAGGGGGAAGGAGGAGGAGGAGGAGGATGGAAGAGGATGGGGACACCCGACCGCCCCCAGCATCGAGGCGTCGAAGTGGAGGTTACAAACACCCCACCGAGCCCCCCGAGCGCGGGATGGTCTGGCGAGGCGGGGGGGGTCCTCCTCCTCTATTCCTTCTCCTTATGAACAACTCCTCACTGTCGCACCCCGAGGCCAGAGGGAATGGCGGGCCGGGCGTTGCGCCTGAGACGTCCTCACCGTTTACGATCCCGAGGCTTACAACATGGATCCTCACAGTTTCACGGATTCTCACAGTTTCACGGATGGAGGGCGGGTCGCTTTCAAACTATGGCTCTTGTCTTAGCGCCGCGTACACCCGTCTGAAAAACTCGCAAGCGTTTCACGGACTGGGGACAAGTCGGTTTCAACATGTGGCTCTCGCCTTATCTCCGCGCACATCCGTCTTACAAGTGTGCACGAGTTTCGCGGGCCGAGGCAAAATCATGTTGCTCCAGCCTTAGCACCGCACGCAATCGCCTCAACAATTTGCAAGAGCTTCGCGGATGGAGGGCGGGTCGTTTTCAAAATGTGGCTCTCATCGTAGCGCCGCACACAATCGTCATAACAAGATGCAGAAGTTTGGGAGCCCACAAAGGACGTACGCGCCTAGCTATGTACATGAACGCGGCCCCTCGATTCGCGAGACGGGCCGCATTATACGAACATTTGTGCAATGCGTGCTCTCGAAACCAGCGTGGATCCATGTACATGTACGTCCTTCTTTCGCCCCTGAGAAGTTTCACGGATGGAGGGCGGGTAATTTTCAAAATGCAGCTCTCGCGCGCCGCGCACGGTCGTCATAACACATGCAACAATTGAACGGATGGAGGGCTGCGCTCCTTTTCAAAAGGTGGCTCTCGCCTTAGCGCCGCGCATATCCGTTTTGAGAGTTGACAACCGGCTCAAAGGGTTCTCACGGTAACCGTCCCAGGAATAATGTTCTGGCATGATGTCGGACTGTCAGGGCGCACCAGTTACGTTGATTCGTGGTGTTGAAGTCCCAGGCATGGTTTTCTGGCGCGGTTCAGGATCGCCAAGACGCAACAATACTGGCGACTCGCGACGTTGAAGTCCCATGAATGGTGTTCTGGCACCGTTCCGGAATTTCAAACGGTTATTCTCCAACGGGGCACTTCCTCCATTGAAATCGAATCCTTGCAGGGGCCTGTGAGGAGGGAGCCTGGAGGGAAGGTGTATTGCAATATCTCTGATGGGCCTTGGGTTCACACTGGCCTCCTCCTCCTCCTCCTGCTCCTCCGCCCTCTCTTTTATGGCCACCTCCTCCCTCCACCGTCACTCTTCCCCCTCCCTTCCTCCGCATTTGGCTTCCGCCCCTTCTCCCCCCCTTCCTCCACTCTGCGGGGCGCGGCTGCCTGGACCGCTGCAGCCACGGGTGCCGCAGGCACTGCCCCGCAGTGGGGCGGTCCTCGGGCCTCGCGCGGGGGGGGGGCGCCCTGGGCGACCACAAGAGCGACGGCGGCCGCCTTCCTCTCTCGTCTCCGCCCTCGTGCCGCACCCAGACTGACGAGAGAACTAAACCAGTTGGTACTTGTCTTGGTGCCCCTGGTCTCCCAGCTGTGTCTCCTGACCTTGATCTCCCGATTGAATGTCACTCTCTTGGTCTGCCGATCGTCCCTCCCTCTCTTGGCTTCCCCCGCCTCGCCCTGGCCGTCGCAGTCCCGGGCGACGACAGCGGCGGCCGCTTTGGCGCTACTCCTTCCTCCGCCCTCCTCCTGCCTCCTGCCTCGCCCTCCCACTCGAAAGTTCTTTTTCAATTATCCGCCCGCAGTGGATGTCACACTCTTGCTCAAACGTGTGGGCTAAATCATTAGCGCCAATCTGGAATGGGTGCGGAAAAAAGGTACGATGCCTAACAACAAACGCTGTCCCAAATCCCAAACCGACAGCGGCCGCTATTGGGCAGGCGGCCTTCTGACTCAACTGTACAACGTGCGACGGCGACAGCGAGTCTGATTCAGAATGAATCAGAACTGCTGTCGGTCTTTGTACCCGTGTTTTCCTTAAATACCTATTTCGATCGTCCTGATCAGACATGTGGGCTAAATTGTTACAACCAGTCAAGCACATCCCGTCAGACAAAGACTACGACCCCTGGGCACCAGTTCAGAAAAGGCGGAGCCTCACGCACCTCATAAGCACAAGGGCCCGCCACCGCTATGGCTGTACGATCCGACAGTCTGGTAGCATTATCTTCCTCTCCCCCCGCCTCCTCCTCCTCGCTCAGATTCCTCTCTTCCCTCCTCATCCTCCCCCCGCCTTCTCGTCCTTCCCTTCTTATTATCGTTCTTCCTCCTCATCCTCATCCTCCTCCTCCTCCTCCTCGTCCTCGTCCTCGTCCTCGTCCTCCTCCTTCTCCTCCTCCTCCTCCGCCTTCCTCCCCCCTCACCCTCCTGCCCTCCCTCCCCGCCCACCAGGACTCCGTCCAGGACCTGGCACGGTCGGGGCCGGCGTGCAGGTGGGCGGCGAGCGTCTCTGAACCGGCCCAGCACGCAAGGGGCCCAGACCCCCTCGCGTCGCGAAAAAATCACGACGGGAGGTTTTTGACTATTTTCGCCCTCTGGAGGTCCTCGCCGGGCCTCGGGACCGTCAAAAAACGACTCGGAATGCAAAACCGGTCCCTGCGAAAGGGTCCAGACCTCTGGGGGTCGACGTTGCGAACAAATCACGACGTCGGGAGTCGGGGGGCCAGGGCCGCGAACGGCAGAGGCAGATCATCGGCAGCGCGCCCAGGGGTCAAGCCTTCTCAGAAGGCGGTGGGGCTTCTCAGACGCCCTCTGGCATGCCGAGAGGCACTCCGTGCTCTCGGGGAAGGCGTACGTAGAAAACTTCTCGCAAGACCCCGGTGGTTCCGAACCTTCTGAGGAGGCCCGCCAAGAGGCCCCCAAGAAAGCCCAGGAGACTGTTAAGACGTCCAAGATGGCCTCCAAGACGGCACTGGAGCCTTCCAAGAAGGGACCCCCAAGTCGGCCACCAAAACGGCTTCCGAGGCCGTCGGGAGGGGCCAGGATATAGAGCCCACCAATAAAAAAACGGCCGCCGGAAACCGCCGACCGAAGCGGGAAAAACAGCGCCTGAGTCAGAACCTGAAAAGCCGTGGAAAGAAAGATGTGAAGGGCCGAAGAAGATTTGGCTCCAAGATGGCCCAAGACGGCCCAAGATGACCCCAAGGGCCTCCAGGAAGGCCCGAAGAGGTCAAAGCCAGTGATTGTCCCTAGGTTTTAGAATGATTTTGGCATTTGCTTCTTTTCGGCCTTCCGACGGCCCGGGAGACGAGACCGAGACCCGAGAGCCCGACCCAGAGGACCCCGACGAGAACAGGAGACCCGACCTTCCGCGAGGACCGGAGCGAGACACGACCGCCGGAGACAGGCTAAAGTGCCCCCAAAGATCCGCCCCACAAGAGGCCCCAGACCGGCCCTATGAGGCGCCCAAGACACCCGGCCAAAAAGACGGCCCAAGAGGCCTCCAAGACGCTCAAGATGGCCTCCAAGACGGCCCAAGAGCCCTCCAAGACGTCCTCCAAGAAGGCCCGAAAGGGTCAAAATGGCTTCCAGACGGCCAAGATGACCTTCAAGATGCCCACGTGTTCCCCGAAGGCTTTCCAAACCGATTCGGGGAACACATGGTCCGATAGCTTGGCAGGTCTGGCCTCAACGTTCGGCAACATAGGCGCTTCCAAAAAGGCAGGGGGCGGCGGTGATTCGCCGTAGGCGTCTTCGATAACGCCAACGTCTCGATAAGCGCTGATGATTCCTATCCGCCCCCGTATGATATTCCCAGATGCGCCAAGGCTGCGCCGAGACGCACCGACGCGACTCCTGTATACATATATATATACACACACATCCCAGTCTGATAGAGACGGGGCTGGCGGCAAGGGGCGAAGCCCTTACGTATAATGCAGATGTTTAAACTCAAGGGACTGAAGAAGCGGCAACTGATTAGGCTGGCACAAGTAGTACTGGCTGGCCTCCTCAGTGCTACAAATAAAGATACGTTGGGACAAATAAAGCAACACTTGTGAGATGGTATGTTCGACGCTCGTAGCAATTATGAGGCTACAACCTAAGGCTTTATCGTTTCGCCCCTAGCCTCCTTGGTGATGGGACCCGCGTGTTTGTTGCAACCTGTTTGTTCGGATTCAGCGCGAACCCTGTTGCGGGTGATAAAAGAAAAAGAGTAAAGCAGAAAATTGGTAAGAAGGTAGAGGAGTAGACGCGGGTGGACATCAGCAGCAGGAGAAGGAACGGACACCGTAAAGAGGACGCGACGTGCAAACGCCTGTAAGTTGAGGCGGGAGGAGTTTGGGGCAGCGCAGTCCATGTGGACATTGACGCTCTGGGAGTATCCGTTGCAGACGATGCGAGGTCATAGACAGAGGAAAGCGAACTGTGCACACACACCGATTCTGGCCAGGACCATCCTGAGCCCAGGATCGGTGCATACGCCCTCTTACCTTGGCCAGGAAGGTATATGCACCGATCCTGGGTCAAGGATGGGCGTTGTCAGGATCGGTGCATGTGCATAGTTCTCTTCGCCCGAATAGACTATCCCGAGCATGGTCCTTCTGCACTGTGCGTCGGAAGGCTTGGCTTCGGTGCCGGTGGCGCTTCGTGCTCGGCCGTCCGAGACTTGGGTCTGGACACGGGTGGAGCCTTGAGCGCTGTAGTGATCTCGTCGCGGTGTTGAGTATCCCGGAGTCGTGAGCTGCATCTGTCCACCTCTTCGAAGTTTTGTTGATCGCGTCGCTGGTGGTCGCGAACTGCGTCCCGGCAGTATAGTAGCTGATTGTCATCGGTGCCGTCAACGTGCTGTGTGTCAAACCATCCGTTGCATGCTGGCACCTGTGTGGAGCCTGTTTGACCGTCAGGCATGTCAGGTGGAACTTTCGGGCGAAGTAGCTGTGTGCGGTGTGCGTTTATATGATGGAAAGTCGATGAGCCACCTTTGTGCAGGCGCAGCTTTTGGTGGTGGGATATCACTGTTATCCTCAACTGCGGTGGTGGTGGGTGTATTGGGCTGCGGATGGGCCATGTTGTCAGTACTGGCCTGTGTTGTTGGAGTCGATGTGCTGGCTGGGTGCTGGTTGGTCGTAGGTATGTCCACTGGTTGGGTCCTCCTCCTCCTCCTCGTTCTTCTCCTGGCTTTTCTTCTTATTCTTCTTCTTTCGAAGTATGATCCTCCTAATGTCAGTCTCCCTCCTCATGCCCATGACCTCCTCCTCCTCCTCCTCCTCCTCCTCCTCCTCCTCCTCCTCCTCCTCTCCTCCGCCCGCAGGGCATGATTATCCTCCCCTCCTCCTCCTCCTCCTCCTCCTCCTCCTCCTCCTCCTCCTCCTCCTCCTCCTCTCCTCCTCCTCCTCCTCCTCCTCCTCCTCTTCTCCTCCTCTCCTTCTCCCCCTCCTCCTCCCCCTCCTCCCCCTCCTCTCCCCCCTCCTCCCCCTCCTCCCCCTCCTCCCCCCCTTACCCGTGCCCCTCCTCCTCGTGCTCCTCCACCCGCCCCGCGGCGGCGCGCCCCCCGCCGCTGCCGCGCGCGCGGCGTGCCGGCTGCGCTCTCCGGCGCCCCCGCCTCCTCTCGTCTGCCGTCCGCCCTGGCGCGCGGCGGCCCCGCGCCGCCCCCCGCTCGGCGGGCAGAGTGGCAGCCAGACGAGGCCCCCTCGGCGCCCGCCCGGGGTCGCCTGCACGCCAGACCCAGACGTCGGGCGTCTCGAAAAAATCGAGACGGAGGTTTTTCGTAGTCTTCGGCCTCTCGGGGCCCTCGCCGGGCCTCGGGACCGTTAAAAAACGGCTCGGGATGAAAAACCGGTCCCGGGGAAGTGGTCGGGAGGTCGGGGGCCCGAGTTTCGAACAAATCGAGACGTCGGATGTCTGGGGAGTGACCCTGGGCAAGAGTGACCTCTGGTGCGCGGCTCTTTGGGGGGCCGCGGGGGGGGACCCAAAACGAGCGCGCGAGGCGCAACGGTCGCATCGCAATCGGTGATCGGGGGACCCCATTGGACTCGCACCAAAGGTCACTCCGGCGAACCCAGACATCCGACGTCTCGATTTTTTCGAAACTCGCCCCCCGACCTCCCGACCACTTCCCCGGGACCGGTTTTTCATCCCGAGTCGTTTTTTAACGGTCCCGAGGCCCGGCGAGGGCCCCGAGAGGCCGAAAACTAATTATGAGAAACCTCCGTCTCGATTTTTTCGAGACGCCCGACGTCTGGGAAAGGTCACTCTTACGTGTAGTCGACTGGGGCGCTCCCGCCGCGCCGCGGCGATCGCGGGGGCCCCGGCGCGCGCGGCCGCCCGCTCGGGCGCGAGCAGCGCAAAAATGCAGGGAGACGGGGCGGGCGCCCCTCCAGCCAACCACCCTGGGGAGGAGGAGGAGGAGGAGGAGGAGGAGGAGGAGGAGGAGGAGGAGGAGGAGGAGGAGGAGGAGGAGGAGGAGGAGGAGATGATGGGGCGACTCCCAGGAGGACAGTCCTCTGAGAGAGGGTCCAGCCCGCAAAACTTGTTGGGCGGGTGCCCCATCAGGGGGAGATTTTGTGAGGCCGAGCGTGGTGACAAAGCCACGCACGGCGCTCGCGACAGGTGTACCCGCTGCGAAACCTCAAACCTGGCGACTATTCTCGCGGGCTCGAACTCGCTCCATCAAGCGAGCCATTCGAGCTTCATACGAGATGGCACTGTCGACCGAGTACTCAACAACTGAAGTCGTCGCTCTGACATCCCTCGCACTAGCCACTGTGAGGCCGACGCGTGGGGCGCTCGGTCGATCAATGCACGAATTCGGGGATTCGGGGCAAGCCCTCTCCGAAAACGCGACAAAATCATTTTACCAGTGCAGGTGGAGGGGGGCACAGGGCTTGCTCAACTTAATGGCCTTTTCCTGGCTCCAACCTCCACACTTCAGACACAACAGGGATCCCCGTCGAGCCTCAGTGCTCTCTTCCTCGGCACGGCACCGCACAGCACGCAACGGAGCAAGACGAGAGCCACTGACGGCGACGAGCTGATGTCCCATCGAGTCAACCGTGAGAGGCTTCAAAAACGACGGGGTCCCAATACAACCATTCAACGGCAAGTTACGACACGATGGCGCAACTTTGAAACAGACTTCGCACTGCCAGCCGAGCTCCCCCAGACCCCAAGCGTGCCACCCCTCCCCCCGAGAGTTCCTCTGTCGGCACAGTGCTGTGGGTCTCCGCCACCGCTGCGGCCTCTCCTCGAGAAAGCACGGGAGGACGGCAGCAGCCAACGCCACAAAATCGGCAGCCCGACTCCTCGCGAGATCAAGCTTGGCCAAAAACTCTGGCGATGGAGCAGGGTGTAAACTGGCGGCAAGTTTAGCATGGTGATCGGCGAAACGGTTCGCTTCGGCCCAGTGGCGCCCCTCGCCCGACAGACTGTCAATCTGCTCCTGGGACCGACGAGCCTTGACGTGCCGAACCGAGATGAATTGGTGGCCTTCCAGGCCACGACAGAACTTCAGAAAGCCAGCTGCCTGGTTGGACGCGCGCAGCTGAAATTGAACAGGCTGCTGGAATCGCCGAATCGCAGGGTGTAATACAGTCGCTGCCAGCCAGGGTCTCGCGGTCGGCGATCTGGCCAATCAAACAAAGCGCAACACTTTCGGCGATGCTCGGCGTTTGCGGGAGGTTGCCAGCAACAGGGCCTCGAATTACTGCCACGGGCACATTAGACCCAGGAGACAGCACTGCAATTGCCCACGACGCGCGCTCAAGCTCCACTAAGCCTGGCCGTGTGCAGGAGCCGTCGGGGGCTACGTCCAATCGAGGGCCCTGAACGAGAGACGCCACCCCCTCAACCTCAACCGCCAACTCCTCCCCCTCAGGGCCCTCGAGGACCACTTTATCCGAGCAGGAAGGGGGAGGAATCCCCCCCTCGTCATACAGGAAAACTCCTTGCACAAAGATGGGATCATCAGACTCGATACCTGCACTGATGAAAAGCGGGCTGACTTTAGCCTCAGTGCGGGCGGCGACGACGGCAGGCAGCATGCATTCATACAAACAGTGCTTGATTGTCTGCCTCTGGCCGCACGCACAAGGGCCATCGCACATGTAGCCAGCAGCCTGGGCGCGGGCCTTGGTCCAGACTCGCGGCATGAGCAGCTCCCAACAAGCAACTTCTGCTGACTAGAGAGCCGTCGAGACCGACCGCCGACCGACGACCGAACGAAGTCAAGCAAGGCCCTGTAGCCTGTCGGAACTCCCAGCTGCATGGCCAAAGCCCTCTCGTGCTGACGCTGAATTCCACCAAACATGAGAGTTGAACGCATACCCGGAGGCGTTCTGCGAACGTCGATTGTCGCACCTCGATGGCCCATCCAGCTCATCGCAGACAAGACTCGCCAGCCCGCACGCTGCGCAGCTAGCGCAGCTCGAGACAAGGGGGCACGACTATATGCCCAGTCGGTGACCTGAGAAGGCTTGGCTTCACGCCATAGCCTCAACAAACGAGCACGCACAGCGAGCGGGTGTCTGCAGACCTTCGATTGCCACAACAGTCTGCACCACTGGATGGCAGGCGCAATGGCGGATGCAGCGGCGCCATCACCGAGCAAGACAGTCTTGCTCGGAAGGCTCACACCACCATGCAGAGGAAGTTGGCCTCGAGCGACATCACGCCTGCACCTCAGCCACTCCGAGTTGCTGAGCCCGACGACCTCACTGCCGTAGGTGGCCTCGGGCAAGGCGCCAGCGCGGATGGCACGGCCGATAGACTGCGCCTTGTGGCCAGTGATGGCCTTGCCGAAGCGCCTGATCTTCCGCGTGCGCCTCAGCATATGCACCTTACGCTTGGCGCGCTTGGTGAGCACGCCCTGGTCGGCCCCCCTGCTGCCCTCGCTGACGTCGACGCCGACATAGACCACGCTGCGCCTCGCAACAGAGGCAGGTAGGCCGAGCCTGGACACGATGCCCTGCGCAAGGGAGAGGGTGGTGCCGACAATCACTAGCTTGTTGTTGATGATCGCGTCGAGCTCAGTGACAGTCTCCCTGAACTCCAGCATTGCGTTGACCACCATGGAAGTAGTCGTGCTCACCGTGGTAGACGATACCCGAATCGAGTTGTCGTCAATGTAGCTCACAAACTGAATGAACTGCTGCCTGACAAGGAAGCTGTCATACTCCCTCACAAACCATACCTTGATCGAGAAATCACAAACACACATCTCCAGCAGGGAGACCGCATTCGGCACAAAGGGCCTGCTCCGCAGGATGACCAGCTAACCCCAGCACACGTGGCGCACGCCACATGTTGTACACCAACTTCAGGAAGGCCGTGGGCGCGATGAAACTGATGTACTTGTCGCGCAGATTGGTCAAAGGAATGCGCTCGTAGAACTTACTGAAATCGGCAACTGCGAGTGCGCCGTGGTAGGCCTGCTTGCTGTCGGCCTCACCCTCGGTCGCCTGAAGCCACGCGCAGTCGACGGAGGACCGCCCACGAGCAGCACCCCAGTACGGCCTGTCAATCTGGCCTGCAGCTCTCGAAGCACTGGCCGCCGCGTCCGCTGCCAAATCCTGTAGAGCCCAGCGTGGAGTACCACCAACCGATTGCCAGAACCAGACGTCTTGGGTAGCATCGGTGTGGTCAACCAGCACAACTGCCTCGGCGGTAGTCCCAAAGACTCCATCGCCTTGAACATCAGGGCGACCACCTCGAGGGCCTGATCCTCCAAGAGAAGGAAGTGACGCGGATGAAAATGATCAGGCGCTGCCGTGGTGTTGTGCGAGAACGATCGCGCAACTGCACGTAGCTCGCCAGGATTCACCTTCGGCAACGCCGTTCGGTCAGGAATCCATGCTGGCACTGGGCGGGAACTGGACCACCACCTCTTGTACAACTCCACTTCGTGCCGAACAACATCGCGCGCATGGGCCAACGCACCGTGGGCCGTTGGGACCACCGTGGGCTGAGCAACGTCGCGGTACTTCGTAGCGCGGTGGAGGACGCGTCAGCCATTGGAAACAGCTATGGCGCACCACTCCTTCCACTTCTGGCGGTCCTCCTGGGTAGCTCCGTTGACCGCGAGCTTGACGTCGGGCTCAATGTCCCCTAGGAACTCGCGGCATGCCTCCTCCTCGAAGCCAGCCTGCACCATGCCGCGCGCCTGCTGAACAGATCGATCGAGGCGTGCGGCAAGACCCTGCCCATGGTAGTTGGCCGTCGCGAAGTTGAGGATCTCCTCAGCAGCCAACGACAGGTCCTGCACGGACGGGTTGGCCACCGTCTTGCACTGCATGATGCTGAGGAGGGAAGACTGCAACCATTGCCAACCCTCGGCCACAGCCTGCAGGTCGGACGCGTCTTTGACCGCATAGGTGATGTCGATCCACCGGGGTTGCAAGTACCGAGCGAAACCAAACAGAACTTTGCGATCCTGATGACCCACAGCGTTCGCGATAGCCTCTGCGGCTGCGACAGCGAAGTGGCCCCGCGCCGCCGAGAGAAGGCCCCATCCAACTCCAGGGGGAGACTCAGGATCGCCACACGACTGGACAGCAGCTTCGGCAACACACCGAGCGCTAGTGTAGGTGGGCGGCTGCACTTGCGGCCCGATGATGATCTGGGTGTCCATCTTTAGCGCCGCCGTGTAGACCAGCCGCTTGACGTGCTCAGCATCACCTTTGAGGAAAATATGAACAGGCCGATGGCCTCGCTTGGCCCACTTGACATCAATGCCCACACTGGCATACATCCTCATGGCCGCTGAGTTGAGGAGGATACAATCGATAACATACTGACCTGTACCTCCTCGAAACGTGACAGAAGACGAGCTCACAATCAAACAACCAACGTGAGCGGGGAACTGGCTCGCCTCCAACTCGCCTTGGCACATGTTCCAATCACCACCAATGACGACTGGACCGTCCAGTGCCTCAGCAGCGAGGCCCAACTCTTGCAACAGCCTGCCGTTGCGGCCAGCGGCGCCCTCACCAGTGCGCAGGTACACGTTGAAGGCATGCAGGCCGACAGGCAGCTCGGGTATATCGATGAGAACATGCTGAACTCGGTTCGGGGCGACCTCATGCACACCGACGCTAGGAGGACGAAGTCCGCGACGATCGCGCACGGCAACAGCAACACCTGCCGACGGCACAGAACCAGAAGCCGGCAGGCTCGGCAACGCCATAAGCCTCCAAACCCGCACACCGCACCATGAAGCCAAAGCCCCGACGTGCTCGCTGATGTGCCCGAACTCCCGCAGCAGCGCCACGCTCGCCATCGTGCTGGCGATGCGCTTCTTGACGGACGCCTTGCCGCCGCTGGCGTTGTAGGTTTCGATGCTGAACTCAGCGCCGACCGTCGGCCTGGCCCCGCTCGGCGGCTCCCGCCCACGCCCAGGCAGCCCACAAACGTCAGGCCAGGCAGTCGAAGGACTACCCATGCCGCGCTCGC